AAACACCTTAGATGTGAAAAGCAGGTGCGGCCAAAAACGGACTGAGCGTGCGACTTAAAGCTTTAGGATCGCTCATTTCTTACTTGTCGTGGTTTGTTGGTGTGTATTGATAAAAAGTCATGATATCTAATCAAAAACACCTTAGATGTGAAAAGCAGGTGCGGCCAAAAACGGACTGAGCGTGCGACTTAAAGGAACGAAATCAAAATCGGCGGCCAAACTGGTAGCTACACTTATAGCATTGATAATAGTTTTACAACAAATATTCATTCATTAGTTAGCTAGGCCGCGTAGTTTGTTTTATCCACCATTAGGCCCCAAGTTGAACAAAATGCGCCATCTGACTGTTCGTTAACAAAGTAATTAAGCTCACCAATAATTTGGGTATTTGTGAAAGGTGATGGATTCTGTAATGGTTAAGACACTATCGAGGACTTCTTTCGTATTACTGCTTAATAAAACGATTCACTTAAAAATATTGAGTCTCTTTTTTTTTCATCAGTATGAGTTGTATTAATGAAGAGATTTGTGGATATATATTTTAAACTAGATGAACCTCCGCAGGGTCTCCGAAAGTGTTTTGTTTCAAGAGTAAATAAAACCAAGATCAAGAGTAACAAATATTTTTAATTCTTGCTTTTGAAGTTCATATGTCATGCTGTGTTGTAGCCAACAGAGTGCATAATTCTTCTCGTGATTCATGGCATGCGCACGATTTACTGACGTCACGACAGTGCAACATGCAACGTTAAGCTTCCCTTATGTGACGTCATTGCTGACTGACTGACAGACAACACACTACTGTATAGTAGTGCGAGTGATTAAAACAGATGACCCCTTCAGGCGGCCTTCTGTCCTCTTTCGGAGAAATTAATATTACGAAAAGAAGTTTTTCTCCAGATCAGTAATTAAAAAAACAAAAAAAAATGTGCATTGATATTGAAGACTAAGAATTGTAGAAAAAAGTGGTCGCAATCGTTTTAATGTTACTTGTATATACGTATATAGGTTTGACAGACGTAAGCAGGTTCTCATAACGCATGTATGTACCTACATACACTAGTTTTAGTGACACATGTATGTACCTACGTACACTAGTTTAAGTGACACATGTATGTGCCTACGTACACTAGTTTTAGTGACACATGCATGTGCCTACGTACACTAGTTTTAGTGACACATGCATGTGCCTACGTACACTAGTTTTAGTGACACATGTATGTGCCTACGTACACTAGTTTTAGTGACACATGTATGTGCCTACGTACACTAATTTTAGTGACACATGTATGTACCTACGTACACTAGTTTTAGTGACACATGTATGTACCTACGTACACTAGTTTTAGTGACACATGTATGTGCATACGTACAGAGGTTCTAGTGGCACATGACTCACATACGTACACATGTTCTAGTAAAAATATATATGTACATACGCACACAGCTTTTAGTAACAAGTGTACGTGCTTGCTTACACGGGTTATAGTGGCCCATATATGTACTTACGTACATAAATTTTAGTAACACATGTATGCGCATATGTACATGAGTTTTAGTAACATATGTAGGTACCTAGACAAATTGCTTAAGGTTATTCCAAGTAAAACAACTTTGAAAATAACCATTTAATCTCTATTAATTAGTTTAGTTGTCCTACTTGGTTTATTTTTTCACAGAATATAAATAGGTGGATCCAAAGAAAATACCCTTTTTTCCTTAAAATAACCATAGCGAATTACTTCATCTTACCACAAATGAACCGTCGTTCTTCCTCAACAATTAAAATCAGGTTTCGAAGCTGAAACATTTAAGAAATTATTAGACATATAGAAGGCAAACATAGTTTATCAAAAACAAGTTACAGAGATAAATAAATGCATTAAACGTCTTGTTACGTTAATTGAAGTGTAAATACGTTTGTTTACAAGAACTTGTAGCTTGTTAACGGCGTGATTAAAACGTTCAATTTGGTACGTTTTTTTAATGCGATATCAGATATTTTCTATTTTCGAATAAAAGTCAGTAAAGGGGAGTGAAAATCCATTTTTTTTACAAAACTTACATCATAGTTTTATATTTACATCAGTAAGTGGAAAGCCAGTTTGAAAAGAGTTAATAGTTAATATAATCTGATGTTTAGATAAACGAGTGAGAATAGAATAACATGCAGAGATGAAATAAAAGTGTCCTTAACAGATTGTTTTCTGTTAACCCACTATTAAATATTTATTAAACATTAAATAAGACATTCAATGTTTCTGGAACTGTAGGAGCTCACACATCGTTTACAAACTTATTGCATAACGTTCAATGTGTGTTTATCCTTAAAATCCGTATAGTGTGCTCATTAAATCCCCATGTTTTAAGAAGAAGAAAAATTAAACTTATGGTGTTTTAATTAATTATGAAGTGGAGTCTGACAAACTGGTTATCAAATACTATGTAAAAAATCAACTAGATCTCCAGTCCAATGAAAGTGGACAGGGCTTGTTAGTAATTATTATCCGGACTGTAAACCCCAGTGTACATGTTTCATATCCCGTTGCCACAAACTTGCGACCCGAATTTTGGAGACCATGAATGCGTTATAAGAGTGATGAGCAAATCCCACTATTTGCTTAGAGAGGCCACAGGTTAGGTGATTAGATGCTTTAGCACTATACTATTGGTTTAAAACTAGGGAAGGCAGGTAGTCCTTGTATAGCTTTGCGCGAATATCCTAAACAAACAATACAATTAAAATAATTAGCTTAAAAGATACGATATGAAAGTTTTTAAAATATGTCAGCCATAACTTACTGTACTCTTTTTTTCAACATTTGACAAAATTCATTAGTTTTACAATATAATGCAAACAGTAACACTACAGATCAGTTGAATTGTTAAGTATTTTGTGAAGATTTGTCAAGTTAATGTCTGAAACTAAAATGATTCAGAGATTTCTCATCATCTCTTGACCAATTATGATGCGTTTTGTTGAACAATGTTTTCTCCTTAATGAAGTCAAATTTAAAAAAACAAACTTATTAAGTGCAAAGTATTTTAAATAATGAAATACACGTGTTGAAACGTAACAGTTCACCTACAATTCTTAAATATTTTCGTTGTTACAAAGAAGTTCCGCCCGAATTGAGAACTGCCTTGTACCAATCTTTTCATTAGTCAACTTAAATTATGAATAATTCTGTTTTCTTAGTGAGTACATATGTACGAACTATGGACGCTTCACTAGTTGTAATTGAAATGTAATAACACTCATACTCTGTTTGTAATACATGAAGACTACACTGTTCAATACTTCAAAGATTTTAATTATTTCTAATTTCAGTACTCTCGGATAATCAGTAAAGGACTGCAATCAGACATCGTTTCATGACTGATTCGTAGTAAAGGAATAGTTTACAGCACTAGGGTCTGGAAACTGTTAATCGTTTCATGTCTGATTCGTAGTAAAAAAAGAGTTTACAGCATTAGAGTCTGGAAGCTGTTAATCGTTTCATGTCTGATTCGTAGTAAAGAAAGAGTTTACAGCACTAGAGTCTGGAAGCTGTTAATCGTTTCATGTCTGATTCGTAGTAAAGGAAGAGTTTACCGCACTAGTAGGCCTCTATATTGTTTAAGTGACATGCATAAATTAAGTTATTTTTGTTTTAATGCAAAACTACATAATGGACTGTCTTCGCTCTGTCCACCACGGGAAATTCAACCCCGTATTTAGCGTAAGTCCGTAAATGTACCGCTGACCTACCAGGGAAAGAATAACCCAAATTCAATGTTCATGATACTATGAAATTAAGAAAATAAGAGATATCGAGTAGCTATTAAGTAGCTTCACATTGTAATATCTTGTGGAAATTAGCATTAATCACATTAAATTAAAACTACAAAGTTTTGTCAAATAAGCACCGAAAATATAAGATAAAATAATACCCTAATTTTACTATGAGTTATCTCCTCCGCTTATGAAAAACTTTTATGCAAGCATGTGCAAATCGACAGTGTATCTGAAAACATACTAACATTTGACCAACCATTTAAAAAAAGTCTTTTATCTACATATTTGTTGTTAATGTTATGATAACTTTTGATGTTTCATTCACACGAAAGTCCTTCTGAATTTGTTCCCCAGTGGGTCAGGATTAGCGGTAAGTTTACGACTAATAACGCTAAAACATAGAGTTCAATTCTTCGTGACAGACAGAACACAAATAACCAATTGTACAGCTTTGCGCTGAAGCAACAAGAAATTCGTGATTTAATATATATATATATATATACATATATTGGTTCACATTCATCGTATTGAAAATACTTTTATTCCATTAGCAAAACATTACACAGTTTGCCCACGAAAGAACAGTAACTGAAATGCATGTAGAAAACTATGGGTTTTGATTTTACAAAATTTAAAATGTTGTTCGTGTATAGTCTACTACGATATTTCAGACTTTTAAGTGAACTTTGTGTATAGAGTATGACAGAAAAAAATTAAATTATCAAAGTACCTCAATTAAGATTGTTTAAATAACTCGATATTAAATGGGCCTTGCACATTCCGAAAATGCAATTATTTTAAAAATAACATATTGCTACTGCATTAGTTGGATCTAAGGTTTTCGTTTTCGAAATATTTCTGCTTTTTTCTCTTTTTTTTTTTTACTACCTAAATATTAAATGTCAGCCTGAAATTTTTAAAAGACTGAATTAATTGTTGTAATCCTACACGTTATCTATAACACGATTAAAATCTTAAATGTGCAAATGTATCTTGATAAGTCTCATAATACGAGACTGGCTTATAATTGAAAGGCAGTTGAAATACGTCAGTAATGAAATGCCTATTTGTTGAAGATAAGTAACACACCTAAAAACCTGCTCCAGATCATATTTAAGAACCACCTTAACCATTAATTTTTCATTGGCTAAACGGCAAAGGGTTCTTCAGCAGAAACCTTTAGTAGCGTTGAAGATTCCAGTAGTTATAAACCTCCGGAGTCATGAAGAGCTGGATGCTGTTGGGTGCAGCGATTTGGGGCTGCCTCTTCTCTGGTAAGTTCTTGATTTCTCTGTGAGATTTATGAAATAGTTCTACAGTCATTTAAAAAAATAAATTGTTGGTTACTTTACATATTATTGTCGTTATTTTTCAAGTCAGCTTGAAATTTTGTGTTTTTAATTTTAAAAGAATTTAGTGCATCAAACACGTGAAATCTCACTTCGTCTTATACATAATAAGCACCTTTAGAGACAATGTATTTAGTATACTTCTAGCAATACAATTTACAAAATCCAAAGAAGTAGCCATTTAAATAAATATGTATATCTGTGTGTATTTGATCGAGGTGTGGCATGTTAAATGAAAACATAGACCGAATGAAGTAAATTTTAAAACATCGAGTGTAAAATATTTGCTGAATTCTCAACTAAGTAAGCTTCCTAAGAAAGATGGTTGCTTTTTCTGACTGAAATCTTAACTCACTGGCTATGTTACAAATCACGTAATTTAATCGTTCAAGTTGAACATATCATATTATGTTGTAACTTGATGTTTTAATTATCTTGCTACTTGATTGGGCCGGACAAGACTCAGTTTTTAGTGTGTCTTAATGCATATCAAGGGGGTCTGACCTAAATGCTTAGTTCACTTGTGATATAGTGCGGTTCAGGTTCCAATTCCTGATAGCTTCGTCATTTCTGTACAGGCCATTATGTTTTCGATAGTATCAAATTTCTTGTAAGAATGAGATGATATGAAACATTTTACTGTCAAGCAAATGATACATGGTGGCTACAAATCTACTATTAGTGGTGAAATCTTCACATAGGAATATATGAAAATAGACGTAAGGGCGTATCACGATAAGTGTCCTCTTTTCTAGCATCACAGTTGATACTTGGGTTCAATAATTACAGGATCTCTTGCGCTGAACAATGACGACAAAGAGTTTTCTTGTCCTGAGAAGGAAGGTTATTACGCAACCCCAGAATGCAACACATACTACGACTGTAAGGGTGGACATGGCACAAGGAAGACGTGTCCCCTTGGTCTCCACTTTAGCCGCATAACCAGAATGTGTGATTGGCCTGTATTTGCTGGTTGTGATAAAGGTAAAATAGTTTTGTTTCCACTACTCTGGGACTTCATAAGATTAAGAATATATTTTTATTAGCTACAATATACGTTCAAGTAATATTCCCGCTTTTATAATTTTGTGTAATGATTTCAACTTTTAAACATTCACAAAATTTCTGAATAATGTTGAGATATTTAAAAATAACAACTGTGGCTTTTAATGATTTTGGCACAAAAAACATCTATAAACTATTACTTTTAGACAAAAAATAAGAGTAAAGAAACAAATGGTTAGATCATTTCAAATCTGTTATATTTTGTACAAATATGTATTAAAATACACGAGGCATACAGTAGATCAGAAACGTGCATTTTTCAGGTAAAAGTAGCCTTTATATCTTATAGAATAATCACTGTAGCCTTTTAATGTTTTTATAATTCTCTAGTTTTTAGTGATTACAACTTTAATCAAAATTTTGTATCACTTGCTGCTGACTTCTTGGAAAAACAAGTTTGACAAATATAAGAATCTAGCTGTTTATGAAACATACGTTTTTATTTTTAGACACAGCTCCATGCTCTTGTGACTGATATATATCCCGTGAACTAAACATTCTTTACTTGCTTATTTAGTGACTGTAATATATCCCGTGAATTAAACATTCTTTACCTGTTTATTTAGTGACTGTAATATATCCCGTGAACTAAACATTCTTTACTTGTTTATTTAGTGACTGTAATATATCCCGTGAATTAAACATTCTTTACCTGTTTATTTAGTGACTGTAATATATCCCGTGAACTAAACATTCTTTACCTGTTTATTTAGTGACTGTAATATATCCCGTGAATTAAACACTGTTTACTTGTTTATTTAGTGACTGTAATATATCCCGTAAATTAAACATTCTTTACCTGTTTATTTAGTGACTGTAATATATCCCGTGAATTAAACATTCTTTACTTGTTTATTTAGTGACTATAAGATATCATGTGATCTAAACACCCTTTACCTGTTTATTTAGTGACAGTAAGCTACCCTGTGAACTAAACATTCCTTTTACAGTCACTAAATAAACAGGTAAAGAATGTTTAGATCACAGGTTATCTTACAGTCACTAAATAAACAAGTGGTAAAGGATGTTTAGTTCACAGGGTAGCTACGAAAATCCCTATCTTTCATAACCATATAAAATATTGCTATTTGATAAACACTTTATCGTAGTTTAGTTTCGTCTTGATAGTTATCAAGAAGTAGTTTGTTCAGCATTTACCTTTAACCGAGAGTGTACATACTCTCATGAAGGCAGACGTGAGTGTGCCGAAACGTTCTTTATTAACGTTTCGTATCAAGACGAAACTAAACTACAATAAGAAGTATACCAGATCTATACTATTTCGTATCGGATTCCCAAGACAGCTTTCGAACAGATGGACTAATATTCGATTGGTATTTAACATGTGTAAATAATGCTTATTTCATGGCATAGCTCACAGTCACTAAATAACCACGTATAGGATGTTTATTTCACGGGGTAACTTACAGTCACTAAATAACCACTTTACAGAACATGAATATTTGAGAACTTCTGACTACCGACTTGGAGAACCCACGGATGAAATGACTGTCCAGACAAGACCTGCCACTGTCTCTATCCAAGCCCAACAAACTGTAGTATTTATTATCTCTGTACTTTGGGAGTTCCTACCAAAGAGTATTGTGCAGGAGGTCTTTATTTTGATCTAGATATCGGGACGTGTAACCTTAAGGAAAATGTCCAATGTGGTACGTTGAAGTTTAAGCTCTATAACTGGCGAAACGACTGATAAAAATGTAGCTCAGCGGCAAGTCTGAGGGCTTATAACACTAAATACCGGGTTTCAATACTCGTGGGGAGCACAACACAGATATCCTTTTGTGTACTTTTGCGCTTAACAGCAAACATTTTTTTTTGTTGCTAATTAAGCACAAAGCTACACAATGAGCTGTCTGTGCTCTGCCCGCCACGGGTATCGAAACCCGGATTCTAGCGTTGTAAATCCGCGGACATACCGCTGTGCTACTGGGGGGCGAACAACAAACAAACAAAAGCAAATGCATATATATGTATATATATATATTCAGATTTAAAATACCACAAGAGGTAATATATATATATATATTGTGTAAAGTTCTTATCCAAGATTTTGTTTATAGTTTATTTTTTATCTTTAGTTCCAAATAATGTTTAATGTTATTAAACATTAAGTCAATATGTGGTAGCTATCCCTTGAATTAAAATTATTCACGAGTGTATTATATGTGTTAAACTTTGACTCCCTTAAAAACGATATTATTTCTGTAGAATACTTAATCTGATAACTCCAAAAATTTAACTTAAACTATCCACAATGTTATATTGTCCAATACATTATATAGAGTAGTTTCTAATCTCGGTTTCTACCCCTAATAAACCATCCTTTTGCATTCTTTTTTTTTTTTTACCAATTGATCCAAGTTTTTCAGATCTGCAACTAATTCGTACAATCAAAGCACTTCCACTCTTTCCCTGATGGTTTAGTGTTAAACTGATTCATTGGCATTTCTGTAGCAAGCATAAAAATATATACCGATATTAACGCTATTTTCAGCAATCTTGTCCACAACCATAAGGAATCATATTATAAGCAGTAGCACTGTCTGGTCTAGAAAATACTTCTTTAATGATTCTAAAAAATTGAACTTAATATCTTTATACATATATAATAAAAATCGTATTAAAAGACCTACAGTGAAGTGAGTTTTCTACTTATTGATTCGTTGTGTATTAAAATATCGTTTTTACGAAAGTGTGATAAACAATTTCAGTTTCTTAATATGAGCAAATGTATGTCCAAACTGTTTAATTTACAGGAACTGCAAATGATAGAAATTTGTAGCTTTTATAATTAATTTCTACAAATATACTAAATCCTGGAAATACTTCTTTGACAAATTTGTAGTTTTGTTAACCTTTTATGAAATGCCAGACATTTTCCAGCTTCTCGTGTGAATTATTTATCAATATTTTACTTAGTATCTACATTACTGATAATGAAATTACGTGAGATGATTTTATTGATCTACAAAACAGTAATTATTATTTACTGTCAGATGTTACTACCACCTTGAAAACTACTACCATTACTACAGTCCAGCCTCCAGTGGACGATTGTATTGAGTGTGGTCTGTTTAAAGATCCGGAGAACTGTCGTCGATTCTATCAGTGTTCCCAAGGTATCAGGTACCACAAATGGTGCTCTGCTGGTCTTCATTATAACGAACACCTTAAAATCTGTGATTGGCCAGAAAACGCTTGCTGCGGTAAGAAATTAAAATGCTTGTTGTAATGATTTTCGTTTTAAAACTTTATAGAAGATTCTGTTGGGAAAAAGATGTAAGCAAGTGAAAAATTTATCTTCATTGCACGTTACAATTTTACTAATATGTAAGTATTCCAACATTTAATTGATAGCCATGTTTATAATCTACAAATTGTGTTGTTGTTTTTTTATTTTGTCATTTAGGAACAAATACATCTTGCTCAAAACCAACGCCTCAACCCACACAGTCACAGGAAGGTTGCAACTGCGAGTGCTGTTTTTTCCCCGATGAGAAAGACTGCGCAGCTTACACCTACTGTGAGAAAGGAGTTCTTTACAAAAAACGCTGTTCAGACGGCCTCTATTTCAATGCTAAAATAGGAAATTGTGACCTTGAAAGCAATGTAGATTGTCAGATTGATCCTAAGTGTCCACAACCCAACGGAAAGTATCCAATTCCTGGCACCACTACCTACTACCTGCTTTGTATTAAAAACATCGTCAGGATAGAGAAATGCCCTGAAGGACTCGAATTTGATCCTGTTACCATGTGTTGCACTTGGCCAGACACGTCTCAAAACAGTAAGTGGTCTCATGCTTAAGCCTTCCTGCTTTGCCTCATGAATTTAATAGGTGCAAAGTTGTCTGTATCCCTATTAGAAACAGTAAGTGGTCTTATGTTTTCGGCTGGCTGTTTCACATCAAAGTATTTTACCTATCTTATGATATTATTTTTTTATTCCGTTTTTACTAACAGAAACAGTTCCAGGGCTCATCATCTACCCAGCGAAGAAAGATTGCCCCTGTGACTGTTGTGCTATTCCGGATCCCGATGACTGTACAAAGTTTACACTCTGTATCAACGGCAATGCTATTGTGCAACAGTGTGCTGATGGCCTTCTCTTCAACCCTAAGATTGAGAATTGTGACTATGCAAAGAACGTGGACTGTAATTATAAGCCAACACAACCTCCTGCTATCCAGTGTGAAAAACCGTTTGGTCTTTTTCCTCATCCTAGCAAATGCAACCAGTACATTAAATGTTCTTACAGTATCCCTGATGTGAAAAAATGTCCAAGTATTCTTCATTTTAATCCCAATCTCAGAGTTTGTGATTGGTCGTGGAACGCTGGCTGTGGTTAGTGTAAACATTGTAGGATTTATGTTGAATAAGCAAATTAAAATATAAAAATTATAAAATATATCATTTAAAAAAAAGACAAAAAACAACAATTAGATAACGAAAATTTATAGATAGTTAATTAGAAATTATTTCACTCTTTTTGACGCGAGGATTAATAACGCTGACCACAAAAGGAATAATCTTTAAACAGTACATTCTGTTTATTTAATTAGATATTGAAAGATCATGTCAAAGGACTGGTTAAGAATTTGTATGAAAGAATAATTCCTTTTTGGGCTGAAATAAATTTGAAAAATTAGGCGTTTTCTGTATTTTCAGGTAAACCATATGACAAAGATCCACCTCCCGAGGGCAAATGCGATTGTGACTGCTGTATGAAACCTGTATCAGGTGACTGTGCAGCTTATATTAGATGTGAGAACCGTAATAAATACTACGGAAGATGTATAGGAGGATTAATGTTCAATCCAAAGATTGAAACGTGTGATTTTGCAGAAAACGTCGATTGTGGTGATAAACCAGACTTTGGCTTTAAATGTAACACCATATTTGGTCTCTTCTCTCACCCCAACGACTGTACTAAGTTCATCCAATGTGCCAATTGGAGGCCTCACGTGAAAGATTGTCCCTCAGGACTTCATTTCAATACAGTTTTGAAAAGTTGTGATTGGCCTTGTTTAGCTCGCTGTGATCCCAACATACCAGGTATAAGAATTTTCCCTTACGTTCTATAATCCTGAATAGATATTAATATCAACATATACTTATATGTTCGTAATTATTGATTTTACTTGATTCTTTTTATTAATTGTAAAGCTTCTAATCGAAAGGAATTTCTTGTTCTACATAACTTAAAAATTGGTTTAAACTTTTAGGATTATATGTGTGTAATCTGTTATTGGTTTCTAGACATAAACAGTTTATCATTTCCAAACTCTAAGTAATCTGTTTAAGGAAGTTATTTATATTTTACATTTACAGTTTGTCCAACTGAAACAACTAACACCACAGTAACTACCCCTGGCTGTAGTTGTGATGGGTGTATAACACCCCACCCTAACGACTGTTCAGCTTATTACATATGCAGAAATGGCCAGAGAGAACTCCTTTACTGTCCTCGGGGTTTTCAGTTTAACAGTAAAACTAAAGCTTGTGATTACCCTATAAACGTTCGTTGCTGGAAGTTCATCTGTCCTCTGCCTGATGGAATGTTTAAGAACGATAACGACTGTGGTAGCTTTTGGCACTGCTCAAATGGAATTCCTCACTTCAAGGATTGTCCTGCTAACTTACACTGGAGTGTGGCAGGAAATAGGTGTGAGTGGCCTTGTCTTGCAAAGTGTGACCCCGTTGTTCCAAGTAGGTTTTCATTAATTATCACAAGAGAAATAGGTTTTCGTACTCATATAAGTGTGTCTCTGATCTATTCATGCTTTATTTTCTGTTGTGAACCTTATTACATTTTAAACTAATTACATAATGTCATTTTGTTTTTTCCTCAAAGCCTGCCCTCCGAGTACAACTTTAAAACCTATTGATCCCTGGTGTCCTTGTTCTAAGTGTCTCAGCGAAGATCCGTTCGACTGTCAGGCTTTCTTTAAATGTGATAACGGTGTCCGAGAGAAGAAGTACTGTCCCACGGGTCTGTACTTCAACAAGAATACTAAAGTATGTGATCACTTACATAACGTTGAATGTCCAGATATTGGAGATCCTTGTCTTTGTAAAGCTCCGAAAGGCAAGTTCATCCTTCCAGAAGACTGTGGGAAGTACGTGGAATGTATCAACGGAATCGCATTCATCCGAAAGTGCCTTTGGGGCCACAAATTTGATCGATCTAGACAGATCTGTGCTTCAACTAATGACGATTGTGGTAAAATTTTATTTGTATTACTAACAACTCCGAAAAGAAAAATTGACTAAAGTGTTCAATGATATTTAAAACGTAAATTTGTTTATCATTACTTGATGAGAGTGAGACCATGGAAAGAAAAAGAAAAATAATTAATAAGTGCTTCTTTTTAACAGTAAAACAAAACTTTTACGATATAGACACCTAGATCTTAATTACACTCATTTTCAACAGTAAGACAAAATGTGTACGGTGTAGACACCTATATTTTAATAATACTTATTTTTAACAGTGAAACAAATATTTCACGGTGTAAACATCTACATTTTAATTATACTTATTTTTAATAGAAACAAAACGTGAATGGTGTAGAACATATTGATTATAATTATTTTTAACAGTAAAACAAGAGATGAACTGTGTAGACACATACATTTGAATTATACTGTTTCCATAATTTTTCATCCAAAATATTTCAAACAGATATATTTGGTAAGAGCCCTATCTGTAAGAAACGAAATGGACTCTTCTCAAAAACGGGTGATTGCACCAGGTTTTACCTCTGTTCTAATGGAATTGCTTATCTTAAGAGCTGTCCTTCATCTTTATACTTCAACCCTCATCTCAAGGTCTGTGATTGGCCGAAAAACGTTCATGAGTGTGGAGTCGATCGAGGTAAATTTCTACGTTACACTTTACCGTTTTTAATGATATTAACTATAACTATGTTTTAGATTGCACACACACACACACAAAATTCTTATCCCTCAAATAAGAAATACAATAAGAACATCATTTGTTATGAAAACCACCTTTTAAACGAGGCCAGTCTATTTCATATAATACAGCGCTAGCAGAAATCGTTTGCAATATTAAAATGTATTTCAATATAAATTTGTTTTTCAAATTATTCGCACACCTTTATTAACTGTTTTTATAACTTTACATTTTATAAGTAATTTTCAAAAGTACAGAACTATCTACTGAACATTCATTACACATTCATGTTCTACTTTGAAGTTCCCTCTTTAAAAAAGGTTCACTAATTCAAACAAGCTTTATTTAATAGAAAGTTAATATAAAATTAACAGTAACTTGATTATTCAGATAACGAATCAACCTGCGACGTTACCTATAACATCAAGTGTCCACCCTGCGCCTGCCGAGTGCCTGACCTGCATGACTGTGGTACCTTTTACCAATGTACCACTAACGGTATAGCCTGTAAGAAAACATGTCCAGCCGGTCTCAGGTTTAATCCCATGAGTATGACGTGTGACCTACCTAAGAATTATGATTGCACTTTAACAGGTATGGTTGTTGCGATAGTTTTACAGAATAAAAATTTTAAGTTCTATGACATTTTTCATTTTCTCTGCAACGTTCGTTTGCTTTATGTTTTCATAACAAGTAGGATATAAAAGTTCGCTTTGTTTTTATTGTTCGTGATCAATCAAAATGTTTTTCACTGTGGCAAAATATCATACTAAGTTTTTTCATCAATTCCAAAATAATTTTCACCAAAAATGTTCCCGTAATAGTTATAAAAAAAAAGTAGTTACACAGGTTGCCTTTGGTTCCCTCCTTAAAAACATTGGTATGTAATTACGGAGATTAATTCGTTTTATTATGGTAATTCAGCTTATCTTTACTTACCATTTATAATTTTCTGTTTTCTCAAAATGTGCTAATACTTTGCTATCGGGTGACAACAGTATAAATACAATACTGGATAATCGCCATTGTGTAATAATTGTTCTATTTCCATACAGCCTCTGGAGAAAGACAGGAAGAGGAAGTCAACAATAAAGATACTGATGTCTGTAGGGGCCAAACCAGTGGAATGGTTAGAAGTCCGACAAACTGCTCAAAGTTTATTCACTGCAGCCCAGCTGGACCAGGACAAGAACAAAACTGTCCAGCTGGACTCTACTTTAATGAAAATATCCAGGCTTGTGACTACAAACAAAACGTCAACTGTTAGTTATTCTAGAACCAACACCAATACATTGTTTGATTCAGTACTAATAGGGGAATAAAAGAAACAGGACTGGTGTTACTCTAAAAATAGATAGTGTCATTTTTATGTCTTGAGTAATTAAAATAAGTTGTAGAAATACAAAAATACTACATACTATTCTATTAATGTATATGATTTTTAATTTTTCTACTTGCGTAAAGCTGAAAAGTATTCAGTTGTTTTAAAAAATTCGACAAAGATTATATTGTAAGCATTATAACAAAATAAAATTTATTATACCAAAGGAAGTTGTAAATGAATCGTTTCCTTTGTTATTTATTTATTTATTGTAATTACATGATAATAAAGAAATAAAGAGTAGCTTTAACTTCAACAAATAAATAATCTTTATACAGAAGAAATTTATACAAAAAATATTTTAAAAAAAGTAATTTTCGGAGTCGAAATAACAGAGATGTTGGAAAGTATAATAATAAATGTTATCAGAAGGAACATATGATCTCATTCACAGACTTGTGTTTATTTTTAGATATATTTAATAAATATATCATATTTTTCAGATTGTAAAAAATTGAAACTATTTGTTAATTACAACGTTTTCTCACCAAATTATAAATATCATTATAGAAGGTGGCAAGATTTAGAGGGGTGTAACCCATGCAATTATATAGGGGCCTCGAATCTCAAAGAAGGGAGCCTCAATGAGAGAAAGCGGCTGGTCAACAGCACCCATCAACTCTTTGTCTAGTCTTGTTTGACCAAATAGTGAGATTTGACATTTATTATTATAGTGCACTCACAACCACAAACTTGGAGCGCGTTTTCGAAGAAACGGGCTGCAAACCATAAATCCTCGGAATCATAGTCCGATCACACTAATCATTGTACTTATATTATACTTCATGTTTTCGTTATCAAATAAAACATAAAATACTACATAAAATAAAGCATAAAATACTACATAAAATGAAGCATAAAATAAAACATAAAATAAAGCATAAAATACTACATAAAATACTCTTCAAAAACTATGGCTCATAATGGCTTAGAGTAAGTCTGAGGGCTTATAACGCTAAAAGTCGGATTTCAATATCCGCAGTGGGCACATCATAGATAGCCCATTGTGTAGCTTTACGCTCAACAACAAACAAACAAGCAAAAGCTATATCGTGTGTGTTAAGCCTTCCCCATCGTTTATTTTCTGAAATGATTTTTTCCAACTGTAAGTAAAATTCTGGTTTCGTTGATTTTCCGTTCAGAACGGACTCGATTCACTCACCTTCGGGATACTATTATCTACAAAGTCATTTCTTTCTGTGTCAAACAGTTATACTAGAAACACTGCGAAAGGTTATACATTACCTGACTTGGAAATAGACGAGTGAGAAACCAATCACGAAACCTAAAAAGTGATTTTCCTCAATAATAACCCTGTGGGTCAAAGTAAGTTTACTGACTGACATCGTTAGAATGCGGGGTTCGATTCCTCTTGGTGGACAGAGCGCAGTTAACCAATTTCGTTATATCTAACAAACAACAATCATAATTATAGAATTTC